CTCCTGCAGTCCCCCAATTGTCCCCTCTCCCCAGATGGCAGCCTGCGGCAAGTGCAGCCGGGCTGATGGCCGAGTGGTGTGATGTGTCCAGTGTGTGTACTCCGGGCACTCCAAGCCAGGACTGCTTTGCAAGCGGGGCACCCCTTAGAACTGTCTGTCCGGGGAGGGGGTCAGGACCCTTTAAGCACAGCCCTCGGCTAGCTTGAGACAGCATCTCCACGCTCTAAGTCCTCCTCTGATGCCCTGCCGGCACTGCTTCCGGCCATCCTTAAGCCGGTTCAGGGTCCACTTAATGTGGACATGCTAGTTCGAATTAGCAAAACGCTAATTCGAACTAGTTTTTTAGTCTGGATCCGTTAGTTCGAATTAGCTTAGTTCAAATTAACTAATTCGAACTAAGTTAGTTCGAATTAACGTTGTAGTGTAGACGTACCCTCTGTTCCCAGTGAGCCCAGTGCTCTTCCCAGTCAGCCCAATGCTCCTCCCACTTAGCCTGGTGCTTCTCTGGTTAAGCAGCCCACTCTCAGTGCTTTTCCTTGAGTTCCAAGATGAGAGATTGCAGGCAGGCCATCGGCTTCCTCAGGAAGTTCTCATGAGTGTGTTTCCTCCTGCAAATCCCACAGAGTTAGATAGATGACTTGGGAGGTGGGGGGTGCACCAAGCCAGCAGCTGGCCCAGCCGTGAAGAAAAATGACATGGGCAGTCATCCCAGTAGACACTGTGTATGAACTCTAGCCCTAATCTCTGAGCTGACACTGAAGGTCTCAGTTCAGACTATGGTGATGAGTTTCGAGCAAGGCCATATGTTGCCTAGACAGCAGGCACTTTTCGAAAGGAGCATAAACATCCCAGGGGAGCATTGCTACACCCACAGCCAGGGGACAAGCAAGCATGGAAAGGTGACAGCCAGGCCAGGAGCCTACAGGCAGGAGAGGGAGATGGGACAACTCAGCTTACTACTGAGTCCGACACACACCAGGTCCAGCACTGGTGACTTCTCACAGAGAGAGA